CCTGAATCCCAGTATGTCTTCAGTTAGACCAAGTCCCTGAATCCCAGCCAACACCACCTGTTAGTGCTCCTCACTTCTCCTCCAGCAGTCCTCTCCATTCCAGATGTGTGTGTCTGCGTGTGTGGAAGTGGGCAAGCTCACCAACAGAACCAATAATACCTAATATAATCAGAATTAGACAACATTCCAACATCATGTCAGTAGTTTACACGTGTACAGCCATTCAGTGGAGGCAAAGCTGCACCTTCACAATAAAAGCATGCAGTAACAGGATTGGAAACTTAAAATATGACGCAAAAAAAAAAAAATCTTAAAATGAGAAGTTTGTAAACTTTTTGGGAGCACTGCATTAAAAGGCCTAGAATAGCATGGGCCTGCAGCAGCTGGTGTGTGTGCGCGCGTGTGCGTGTGTAAAATGGGTGAGGCTAAATAGAAGTGGTGATTAAACTCTTGGTGAAAGAAATTTCAAACCAAACTCAAACGCAACACTGCGGTGTTTTGTTTGATTTTGTTTCCAGTTTATCAGCAGAAACCGTGAACGCAGCAGGACGGTTTGAGGAGCCTCCCTTCATTGTTTTTTGTCTCCAATCGATTATTTCAACAGAATAATCCTTTATATCGATTCCTGGGTTACGCGTGAAACAGAAATTGCGCTTTTCGGCGATAAATGACACCGAATAAACTCTCGTGGTCTTCTCTGAACTTTCACACCACAAGGCCCTGCTTGCCCCACTTTTATGAGAAAATTTGAGTTTTCTTGTTAGTTTTTCTTACCTTAAAACCAACCTCAGCCGCGTTGTGCGACGGCTACATGCGTCCCGAGAGCTTTTCCCTTCCTTCACCACCTTTTTGTGTCCGCCAAAGAAGTGGAAAGAGCCGACACAGGCACTCAAACGTTGAATCTCAGTCCTCCTTCTGTCCCATACCGATTAACTACTTCCCCAGCGCCAACTCCTTCCCTCCTTGGGATCCTTTTTTTAATTCCTTAACAGCGAAGACACCCCGCGAGCTTCCAAACACTGATTAATATGGCGGTGTGACCACGAAGCATAACAATAAAAGCATCAGAAATCGCCGCTTGATGGTGGGTCAGGGCTCCCCAGAAAGAGACAACAATAGCGGGTCCAGTTCGGATCAGAGAGGAGGCGATGAGGCCAAAGAAGGAATTGTGGTGCGTTCGGTGGCTCACATGAGACTCGGAATGTTTCCTTTCGGTTCTTTCAAAGTGGCCGCGATACATAAAAACAGAACATACTGATTTATTGTTACTTATTGTTTCACATTAAAGTCCTGACTAATATTCTCTTTAAAGGTTTGTCTAATCAAAAAGTTCTTAAACAACTACTCTTAGAATTGTATTTTTTTTTTAATATGTCAGGCAAATAAATGAATAATAAAGTGTTTTGCTGTAGTTCAGTGATGATTCAAAACCATAAAACCTTGGAGTTATGCAACAATGGTGGCTAAATTCTTGTCCACACAAGAATTTGTTCAAACTAGACATTAATGTTCAAACACACACACATCAAATATACAAATCTAAAGACATGTTCTGCAGACATGTTCCTGTTTTTAGTTTTCTACGTTTGCCTTATAATCTAGCTGTTTTGCTACTCTTTTTGCCATATTATTTGTAAAAAAAATTATTAAAAAAAAATCTGTATGCCTTTTTATAACTGTCTATTGTTGTCGCTGTTGTCCGTTGTTGTCATCATTCTTTGTTGAAATCAGGTCTTTCTTGTGAGTCCTCGAGGCTCAATGGGATTTACCTGTCTAAATATCGGTTGAACGAAAAAAGAAATTAGGTAGAAATGTTTTCATCTTATTTTTTGTTCCATTTGTTTGAATCCAGTCAGCACGTGCTTTAATTTCCGACAGACACTGAAGCAGACATCATATCCTCCTAAATGTCCCAATATGGCCGACGTTCGTGTCTCACGGCGGAGAAAAACCTCCACCTGACTCCGCAAATCATTAAAGAAACCCTTCAAATACGTTGCTCTTGCTCATTTACTCAAATCGTAAACAAATCCCTTTAAAAAAATCAAATAAAACGTAACAAACACGTGGTATTACCCGGCTTAACCTTTGAACCCAATCCCTAACGTGCCGGTGTTTGGCGCCCTCTAGTCAATTTATTATTTATTCATTGATTCTTTGGGATGTAAACTTCAGATACATTTGATCTTGATTAGTTTTTAGCGTGTTTTAATGAAGAATGGATGAAACAACTCAAACTATGTTTTGACCCATGACAAATTTAAATATAACGAGGATTAGTTTATATTTATTCCTCCTACAACTCTGAACACTCTTTAAGATTAATATATGTGCAAAATTCTGTTTGTAATTTGGAAGAATCCATGACTCACATTTAAAGAAGGAAGTAATGTTGACTATGCATTTTAATTTCTGCGGGTTCAACATGACTGAGTTTTCAAAACGTTTGCAGGGATTTGCTGACCCCTACCGACTCTGACTGCAACACGTGCAGAAACTGCAAAAGCAACATAAAGACCAAAAATTGTAAAAACACACTCAGAGCAAAAACACCAAATGAGCTTTAATTACATATTCACATTTTCATGATATATAAGTTTTTGTCCTCTATGTATTACTCATGAGTTAACCTAAAAAATATATGTTTACTTGCTGATTCAGGTGTTCTGATTGGTTCAGTGATCCAGCAGAAATAGATTTAACATTACTTGGGCTCTGTCCTGTTTCCAAATCTGTCAGCAGGCTGGCTGAATGGTGACGAAACAAGAGAACTCAGATGGCCACACGTCTAATAAGATAAACCACATTTCTTACTCCAACTTTACAAAGACAAACTAAAACTTAAATCTTATTTAGTGTGTAACATCTTGATATCAGATGCTCATCAGTTGAGTTGGTTATATTTTTTTAACCCACCCCCCTTTAAAATATTAAATAAGACAATGAAACTGCAACATTGTTATGTAATTTCCTGAATCCAAGTGAGTCCTGACTGCATTTAATTGAATTGAAAATTGACTTTCTTTAGTAAAATATATGTTTTGTTTTGTTTAGTGTAAACAAAAAAAAAGTTCTAAAAGAGGCTACAATTACAAAATTGAGCAATAAGACCAACAGTTTTCATCATTCAAATATTGTCATTATACCAGCTGATCAAAGCAGATGGACTCTTGTCCTGAGCCTGGTTCTGTTGGAGGTTTCTTCCTCATGAGGGAGTTTTTCCTTTCCACTGTCACCTTCATGCTTGCTCAATTTGACAGTCTGCCATGAAGGTAAACTCAGAGCAGTCTGCTCCAAATAATGTTAATAACTATAACTATATATATATATATATATATAACCCAGCCACGAGGGAGCACGTGCATCTCTTGTGCCGGTCCCAAGCCCGGGTAAATGGTGAGGGTTGTGTCAGGAATGGCATCTGATGTAAAACACTTTTGCCAAAACAATCATGCGAGTTCATCAAAGCGAAACCATACCAGATCGGTTGAGGCCCGGGTTAATAACGACCATCACCAGTACTGTTGACAAAGAGGGTGCTGGCGGAAATTGTGCTACTGTTAGTTGAAGACCACGAGGAGGGAAACGTGTCAGGAGACAGAGGGAGAAGAGGAAAGTGAAGAATGTAGGACTGAGGGTTGCAACTCTAAATGTGGGGACAATGACAGGCAAAGGTAGAGAGCAGGCTGACATGATGCAGAGAAGAAGGGTAGATGTTTTATGTGTCCAAGAGACCAAGTGGAAGGGCAGCAAGGTTCAGATCATTGGAGCAGGATTTAAACTGTTTTACCATGATGTGGATAGAAAGAGAAATGGGGTAGGGGTGGTCCTAAAGAAGGAGTTGACAAAGAATGTAGTAGAGGTGAAGAGAGTGTCAGATAGGGTGATGTGCCTGAAGGTAGAAGTAGGAGGTCTGATGCTAAACGTCGTCAGTGGTTATGCTCCACAGGTTGGATGTGATGCGGAGGAGAAAGATACATTTTGGAAAGATCTGGATGAATTGATAAAGAGTAATCCCAGGGAGGAGAGAGTGGTGATCGGAGCAGACCTGAATGGACATGTTGGTGAAGGAAACAGAGGGGATGAGGAAGTGATGGATAGGTTTGGTGTCAAGGAAAGTAACCAGGAAGGACAGATGGTGGTGGATTTTGCCAAGAGAATGGAAATGGCTATAGTCAATACCTATTTCCAAAAGAGGGAGGAACATAGAGTGACCTATAGAAATGGAGGAAGGAGTACGCAGGTCAACTACATTTTGTGTAGAAGAGGAAACCTGAGGGAGATTGGGGACTGTAAGAAAGAGCTTCCAAATGACTGGACTACTACAGCAACAGTAATTAGAGAGACAGGTAGGATGGTACTTGGTGTGTCATCTGGACAGAGAATGGATGATAAGGAAACCTGGTGGAGGAATTGTGAAGTGCAGGACACTGTTCAACGAAAGAGATTAGCCAAGAAGAAATATGACAGTGAGAGGACTGAAGAGAGGAGACAGGAATATAGGGAGATGGGACGTAGAGCAAAGAGGGAAGTAGCTAAGGCAAAGCAGAGGGCGTACGATGAGTTGTATGGGAGACTGGACACTAAAGAGGGCGAGAAGGACTTGTACCGATGGGCAAGACAGAGAGATCAGGCTGGAAAGGATGTACAGCAGGTTAGGCTTTTTAAAGATAGGAATGGTAATGTTCTAACAAGTGAGGAGAGTGTGACGGGAAGATGGAAGGAGTATTTTGAGGAGCTAATAAATGAAGAGAATGAAAGAGAAAGAAGAGTAGAGGTCATAGAAACTGTGAACCAGGAAGTGGGAAAGATTAGTGAGGGTGAATTCCGGAAAGCTCTGAAAACAATGAAGAAGGGGAAGGAGTAGGATCTGGTGACATACCAGTGGAGGTTTGGAAATGTCTTAGAGAGATGGCAGTGAGGTTTTTGACTCAAATATTCAATGGCATATTTGAGGGTGAGAAAATGACTCAGGAATGGAGAAGAAGTGTGCTGGTGCCCATTTTTAAAAACAAGGGTGATGTACAGAGTTGTAGCAACGTCAGGGGAATTAAGTTGATGAGCCACACGATGAAGGTCTGGGAGAGAGTTGTGGAAGCTAGACTTAGACGAGAGGTGACTATCTGTGAGCAGTAGTATGGTTTCATGTCAAGAAAGAGCACCACAGATGCCATTTTTGCTTTGAGAATACTGATGGAGAAGTACAGAGAGGGTCAGAAAGAACTCCATTGTGTCTTTGTGGATTTAGAAAAAGCATATGACAGAGTGCCAAGAGAGGAGGTGTGGTATTGCATGAGGAAATCTGGAGTGGCAAAAAAAACATGTTGGACTGGTACAGGACATGTATGAGGACAGCAGCACAGCGGTGAGATGTGCTGTAGGAGTGACAGGTAGCTTCAAGGTGGAGGTGGGATTGCATCAAGGATCGGCTCTGAGCCCCTTCTTGTTTGCTCTGGTGATGGTCTGACTAACAGATGAGGTCAGGCAAGAATCCCCATGGACGATGATGTTTGCAGATGACATTGTGACCTGTGGTGAGAACAGGGAACAGGTGGAAGAGAACTTGGAGACGTGGAGGTATGCACTTTGAAAGAAGAGGAATGAAAGTCAGCCGTAGTAAGACAGAATACATGTGTAAATGAGAAGGAGGCTGGTGGAACAGTGAGGCTACAAGGAGCAGAGGTCACAAAGGTGCAGGACTTCAAGTATTTGGGGTCCACTGTCCAGGAAAATGGGGAATGTGGTAAAGAAGTGAAAAAGAGAGTCCAAGCAGGATGGAGTGGATGGAGAAAAGTTTCAGTAGTGATTTGTGACAAAAGGGTGTCAGCAAAGGTCAAAGGAAAAGTTTACAAGACAGTGGTGAGACCAGCTCTGTTGTATGGTCTGGAGACAGTGGCATTGACAAAAAGACAAGAGGAAGACCTGGAAGTGGCAGAAATGAAGATGCTAAGGTTCTCCTTAGGAGTGACAAGGCTGGATAAGATTAGGAATGAGATATTCAGAGGTACAGCACAGATTGAACAACTGGGAGATAAAGTTAGGGAGGCCAGACTGAGATGGTTTGGACATGTCCAGAGGAGGGACAGTGGGTATACTGGTAGAAGGATGTTAGAAATGCAGCTGCCAGGAAAAAAAACAAAGAGGAGATATATGGATGCAGTTAGAGAGGACAAGAAGGTAGTTGGAGTGAGGACAGAGGATGCAGAGGACAGAGTGAGGTGGAGGAGGATGACTCGCTGTGGCGACCCCTGAAGAGGGAAAAGCCGAAAGAAGAAGAAGAAGAATATGTATATATGTATATATATATGAATGTTTCTGTTCAGTGCCCTGAGATGACTTCTGCTTTGACTTGGTGCTATATACTTTAAATAAACAGAACTGAATTGAATGATTATTGTTAATGTCTTGTTTTAAACTAACATTTTGCATCCACAACTTTGTGTAAAAGTTTATTTTTAATTGTCAGAGTAATAAAGGGACAAAAAAAATGCCTTATTAACCACAATTACCTCAATTCTTTGAAACTTTATCATTGCAGTTTGTCACTTTTCACTATCAGTACATTTATTGTTTGTTACATCTCTAAATAAAATGTTAAATAAATTAAAAGTGTGGATTTTTAGTTCAGTTTTGCCAAAGACGAACTGACATGTTCTCAGTCATTGCAGCTGCTGGTTATGGAGCATTAAGTGTAGAACAACTACACTGAGGAACAGCTTCTACGCTGAGGCTGTTAGACTCATGAATCTCTAACCAGAATAATCACTGTGAAAAATCACATCATGTTGCTGCTGATCTTGTTTCATGTTGATGTGTTCATTCGTCCCCATCTGCTCACACAGACTCATGTACATGCTGCTGTTTGGCACTATTAGTGCTTAGCTTATTTTTAGTTGGCATTTTTTTGGTTCCTATCTTAAATCTTGTTACTGCTTTTCTTTCTACATTTTATTGTTGGATGTAACTGGGACCATGTGTACATAATTTCGTTCCACCACATGTACCAGATGTGGTGCGGATGAGAAATAAAGAAACTGACTCTGACTGCTCTTTCCATCAGTGGTGATTTTAGCCTTTTTTGGGGGGGTGATCAAGCACCCCTAAATTTAACATCATTAGGATTTTGTAAGGAAGCTAGTTTTCAAACCTTGATTCACCTAACTAATGAATACATTTGAAATAAATGTGGAATAAATGATGACACAAACGGGCCAGTAAAATCTATGATTTTATTCTTCTTTTGCATGAGTCTGATGTCAACAGGCCTGTCAGCAACCAACCAGAGACCTCAATTTGTCCTGAAGTAAAACACCTCTTACCTGCAGGAGCATATGATGTGTGAGATAAGCGGAGCACCACATTTGTAGCTAGCACATCTGTATTGTGTGCCATTTGTCATCAGTTGTCAACTGGGGGGGAGGGGGGGGAGGAGGGGAGGAGGGTGTTAAGATGTGTGACAGAAGCAGAATGTGCTCTATTCACACTATTCTATTCTGTTTATTTATATAGTGCCAAGTCACAACAGAAGTCATCTCAGGGCACTGAACAGAAACATTCACATACATAGAAAAAGCCATTTAGTAAAACTTGTCTCAGACACGTAGAATCTTCACTTTGTCACGGTCTCTCATTGCATGCTTTAGTATTTCTTGTTTATTTTTTTGTTTGTTTGTTTTTAGTGAGTCAAATCGGTTTTCAATAGCATTTCATTGTGCTGTAAACCTTGTGTTAACCTTGCATATGACAAATAAACACAACTGTCTCCTATCCTGAGCAAGCACAAAGGCAACAGTGGAAAGGAAAAACTGCCTTTTAACAGGAAGAAACCTCCAGCAGAACCAGGCTCAGGACGAGTGACCACCACAAGGAGAGCTGTTGGTCAGACGTACTTCTTGTTGCTCTTTAAAATAATTATTGAATCAAGGGTTTACTTATTTAGGTAAATGCAGATGTTTAAAAACCTGTTAAAATACACCAGAATGAAGGAACTGGCATCTACGCTATTCAAAAATTTCTGGGGGAGAACCCCCAGACCCCCCACCAGTGTGTCTCCCCCCGATATTACAAATGCTTCTGACACCAATGGCCACTGTATTGTTCAAGCCAAGAGCCATTGTCAGCTCTGGGGGCTAAGCACCCCTGACAGGGCAGATTCTTCAATCGCCCCTGCTTTCCATTCTCTCGGGGAGCCCAGCTGCAGAAATTATTTTATCATTTTATTTGAGCAGTGGCCATGTTTTACTTCTCTCCTCAAGATGGCGCCGTTTGCTTGGAGGGTTGAGCTCCATCCTTTACCTGCCCGCTGCACGTGACCTCCTAACATCAGCAGTCTGCTCCAGTTTACACATGGGGCTTCAGGTGCGTGCTTCACAGAAATCACGGCCAGCTAAAGAAAGAAAGAGAGAAAGAAAGAAGGAAAGAAGGAAATGTGGATAGCCCCCCCTGACAGTGACTGGCTCCGTTCGTCATATTGCGTCAGCTCAAACAAAACATTGACGTGCATACCCCCCACCCCCCCCCCCCCCATGGTAAAATCTACTTTTTTTTTTTTTTTTGCGAATTAAAGGTGATTCAGTGATATGAGATGTTAAATGTATCCAAATGTTTCCTAAATTCAAGCTGATGATCAGAAACTTGTGGCCAGGGTGGGTCACTTTCACTCATGTTGCTTTACAACAGGCCTTTGTCTCTAAAGCTGAAAGTGTCACACTTCCAATACATTTTCAGAAACATACGTTCAAAGTGTAGAAATCTAAAATTGAACTCATAAGGAATGAGCAAACAATGGGAAGCAGCAGACAACAGCAACTGTGCGTTCAAACACGTCTCCAATAAAAAGACAAACCTGTAGGCCCGTCAAGGTTTTTGGTTAAGTGACGCACATTCAGCAGCAGGTGCAGACCTTTACTCAAGTTCTTCTTTCTTTTTTCGTTCCACTAAACAAAACACCGCATTTTTATGACACAGAGGCCTTGGATTTTAAAAGAAGAAGAAGAAAAAAAAAACAAAAAACGTCTGATTCGTTCATAAAGCCACGTTTCCAGCTGCGTCACCGCCAGCTCCTGTTCCCAAATCACATTACGTGCCTCGTTTACTTTAACGGTCTCAGCTGACAGGCCGAGACCTCGTGTGGTTACTGTACTCCCATTAACGCACCCCCCCCCCCCACACACACACACACACACCCCTCCCTGTTATTTGATAAGCAATTATTGAATGAAAAGAAAAACTAGAAATTATGATTGGAAAAGTTGCGATTGGAGAGGATTGATTTCAGCACCGGACAGCTCCCCGGGGGAAAGGGGGCGGGGCGCTTGAACTTTGGACATTAAAAGTTTGATACACCTCCACTAATAAATAAATAAATAAATAAATAAATAAATAAATAAATAAATAGTTATATAAAGCAGCAGCAAACATGTCCTTTCCCACAGTTCTTGCATAATCATTAAAGAGAGGCGCATGGAAGCAGACCTGTGTGGACAAACTGATCAAAAAAACATCATGTCGTGTGAGTTCTTACAATTATTTGCCAACGTTTCGGCTTTTAATGAAAAAAAAAGTTTTAAAGTAAACTTCCATCTTTGGATGAAGGTTGGAGGGTGTGTGGGGGGGGGGGGGGGGGGGGGGGGGGGGGGGGGGGTCTGAGTCTGATGGATGCACCAATGAAGAAGGAACTGTACTATTATATTCCGGGAGGAAGACTTGATGACGTCTGTAGCATCCTTAATGTGACTTGGTGGAGGGAGGGAGGGGGTGGGGGGGAGTGGGGGAGGAGGGTGAAGGCTCACCGTCCGCGGATAAAAATCCTCGTCGGTGGCAGCGCAGGACAAAAAGTTTGGAGCAGCGATATGTAAACGGACATCCAGCAACGCACTTTGACTTTTTATATTTGGTCCCCCTCCCCACCCCCCACCTCCACCCTGCGGGCGCTGGAGTCCTCTTAAACCGTGTCCCCACTAAAGAGACAAGTGAGTCAGGCTGCGCTGAGGGGAACATAAGGAGACGTGAGGAGCTTCAGCCAGGAGAGGAGAGGAAAATCTCACCGCGCCCGGATCACAGCCTGCAGCACCGCGCGCTCCCTGCACTCCTGCTTTTAGGTACGTTACCTTTCAACGTAAAAGTCTTCAAATCTGACTAATTTCGATGCTGAAAAACAATTAAAAAAAAAAGTTGTGTTTTTTATCTTAACAGTGAAGAAAACTGAATTTGCTCAAGTAATTCTGAGCTACGGTTAAAACATGTTTTATTAAATAAACGTTAAAAAAATAAGTTGCTGCTTTTGTTCCCTCACAAAGAAACTAACCTCTTCATTGTTTCCTCCTCCAACAGCATGGCCAGTTCGAGTAAAGCGACTTTAATCTTGCTCATCTACGGAATCTTAATGCACTACAGCGTCTTCTGCACACCTATTGGACTAAGTTACCCTAAGATTAGGTAGGTTGCGCCTTTACATGGTCCTTATCTTTATATTTTGTATTATTAGTTTATGTAAAGTGATGTTTAGCAGCTCATTTAGTTGCTGCTTTGTGTTCAATCATAAAAAGACTCGGTGCGCCAAATTACGCACAAACCCATGCATGCGCGCAGATTTCAAACCCCGGAGGAAAAAAAAAGAAGCTCCAAAGCTCGCAGGTGTTGGATGGAAAATGCCCATGGAAATTACGCGCGTGGATCTGTCCGGTGGGGCTGTTCACAGAACTCCCCTTATTAAAACTGAGCGAGCAGTCAGAGTGGTGGATAGCCCTTTGGGATGACGATGGACTGCGTCACGACAGAGAGGCGAAGCAAAACGAATAGGAGAGCTCTGGCTAAATAACATTTTTTTCTTCTTCTTCTCCTTTTTTTTTTCCTTCTGATGCTAAAAACACATCCAGATTCTTTGGGCGTGGTTCACTGATTCAGAATTGTCTCAGCTATTTTAAGCCACTTTTTCCGTGTAAGTTTTCTGGCTCCGCGCCTCCACTCCGTCTTCCAGCACCTATTGTTTCGTTTGCCTAAATTATTAATGAGGCTGATATAGCATCTGCAAAATGGTATTTAATAGATATTGTATATATATATATATATATATATATATATATTCGATTTTCAGTTCTATTTAATGAAAATAAACAATTATTCCAACTCGTTTTCTAATTTTATTTTTCGTTTTATTTCATTTTTCGTCGTTTGACGCGTCATTTGGTGTCACACAATGAGACATTTCTCGCCCTCCTGCGTCCTGCTTGTGCTTCAGGTTTTTCTCCTCCCTTTGCAGACTTGAAAACGACGCCTTCGATGAAGATGGGAACTCTCTGTCCGATATGGGCTTTGATGGAGACCAGATTGCTATACGAAGCCCCCCATCCTTAAACGACGACGCGTACACTCTATACTACCCACCGGACAAAAGGTAGAAATAAGCTGATATATCCCAGCTTGGGCTGCTTTTATTTATTATTTTGTATGACTTTTTTTATTTTATTTTTTTTGCTGGTTGCGATAATGTTTGGTTGCATTGTCTCCCCCCCCCCCCCCCCCCTTCAGAATTCCTCATGTTATTTGTGTTATTTTCACACAGAGTAGCCTAAAACGTCGTTTCCGCTGAGATTCAATGATCAGATTGGACATTTTAGGCTTCTTTGAATCATTCTGTCTGCGCTTTTTTTTTTTTGTCTCTCCCACTTTCTTTTTTTATTTTAAGTCTCTGATGATCTGTATGTTTTGGCGTTTTATCATCTCAGAGCAGAAAGGCATGCTGAGGAAGAATTAGATAGAGCCTTGAGGGAGATCCTGGGTCAGTTAACAGCAAGACATTATCTGCATTCTCTGATGACTGTGCGTGCAGGGTAAGGGCATTTCTCTTTAGCGTTCACCTGCACTTCTCTCCCCCTCTCTCTCTTTTATTTTTAAATTATGTCTCTGCGCTGCACAACTTCAGGCTGCTGCATCCACTCTCATTTTATGTGCACGATTTATTTATTTTTTTTAATTTGAACGATTTTTCTCACCCTTCTATGCAATGAAACCCCACGTAAACGTCTTCAGCTCATTTGTTTTGCTCTTTTGTTTTGTCGTTTAATGTAGGAGACTGAAATACACCCAGACTGATGTGTGATTTAAATATTAATTAATAAAATTTACTATTTGTCAAAACCATAATTAAAATAAAAAGCTTCTGAATATGCACTGAACTAT